CCATACGGGACATAATTGAGGCCGGCTAGATCAGTCATAATCGCAGCCGTAAGAAGTACAAGCACGAGTAGTCCTGCATGGAGCACACCACAGCCGAATCCATGGATGTAAAAGGGGGAATGACTACACGATTAGTAAACTCCGGTAAATCCACTTCCCTGCTGGCAATGAGGAAGAGGCTGGCTGAGTTCATAAGCTTACATTATAAACAATACTATAGTGGACAAACCACAATAGATTTCGTGACAGCTTCTCAACTGCCTCCTACCTCTGCATGAGGTTGATAACGAATAGAACATATAAGGGTTTGAAATTGCACAGAATGACATGACATAACGGAGAGGATCATAGTTCAGTAGAAATAATGACCAGATAAAGGATACTGCACTAAATCAACGTATAGGAAGGGAGGGGGGGAATTGAGGGAAGTTAACAAAATCACTTGGGGGAATAAAACTAAGTGTCCAATTACCAGAGAGGTTGACCACATGGTCAAGCTGCTTGCATAGGTCGGGTTTCTCCCGCCGTATGTAGGCGGCTTTCAAAAAGCACAGGCTTCGATTTGTTCGTGCCCGAACAAGTATTCGAAACGCTGTGTTAACGTCGACCAAATGACCGCTATCTAGCAGATGCTCAGTAATAGAGGACAGTGGTACTCTATATTTTTGCTTCAAAAAGCCAGTTGGGCAAGTGCTCAACAGCCCTGGCTGCCAGTTGCCTTTGCGTGTGCCCAATTGTACCTGCTACGCACGCCTGTTTTGAATTTGTACCGGGGACCAAATACTTCAAACCACAATCGGTATCCAATCTAATTAAACTCGAAGCGGAGGCCTGAGGTGTGTTTTTCGAGTAGAAAGGAGTACTTGCAGGGGATTGTATTAATAACTATCGTGTAGCCTAATCCAGAGATATGTCAGTCGAGACAGGGTTTCGAAGCAGCTTTTTTTCCTGACGTGTGCGAAAACCACACATGGTAAGCCAAACAATTATCTTTTTAGCATAAATTTTCTCATTTATTTGGAACAGGCTTATAAGTTCAACCACACTTTAAACACATGTGCACAAAAAACTTATTATTTTGCACTATTTTTTCGAACACTTTTTAAAGTGTCGAATGGCGAAAATTGTTTAACCCAATCAACTGGCGCACTTGCGTTTAGGACTTCAAACTACAAGCTGTAAGCAGTAAACTAATACATTACGT